AGTGAAGCACATCAACGTCAGGTACTTTCTTCTGCGAGAATTGCAGCGGCGTGGACAGGCTCGCTTCGGCTTTGTGGAGTCCGAGGCCAACACTGCAGACATCTTCACCAAGGCGCTTCCGCCTTGTGACCACCAAAAATGTTGTGTGCAGTTAGGTCTCGTTGACACAGGTTCTCGCCTAGCGTATTCTTGAGTTCTCAACTTGCTTTGTTTGTACGTTTTTATATATACCCCTGAGAACCCTTGAACTGGCCTTGTAGCTCTTTTGCTTGTGCGCGAAATGTGTTGTGACGTTATGATCCACCCAGAGCTTTGTTTCTTTGTGATTGGTCTTGTGATCGTACACTTATGGTTTTGATTGTCACCCCTCACTTATACTATGGGGGTGTGTCAAATGTTGTAGTCTTAGTGATGTGTGTTACAGGGGTCACAATTGTTAGGGTTAGGTTTACCCCAACCAACCTTAGTCAAAACAAAAACTTTCTTTCTTGACAAATACGTACGTGCATGACTGGATTGTCGTGGTCTGGAGCAGGTTCATGGATTGTCGTGGCCTGGTTGCTTCCAGTTACATGTACTAGTTGATTGGAACTACCACACATGGTTGATAGTTAACAGAGGGGGCTTAGATTCGGCTTGAGTTGGGTTGGGAATTTATGGTTTGGTGAATTCAATCTGCAAATTCGCTTGCATGAACTGATAGTAACTATTAGAGTGTTCCTTCCTCCATGTACCACATCTTTGGCAACTGCTGCTTTCGCAAACTGGTGTTAGCAACCCTTTATTTTTTACAGGATAAACAGAAAACACCCTGCTATGATGAGCAGATCTCTCAAGGCTGTGCTGCGCTCCTTTGGTGGTCGGTGGAGAGGATTTTGAAAATGTCTGACACCCTCCCAGCTTTCTCGGTTTTTTTCTGTGCCCTGGTAAAGTGGTGTACAGTACATAGGCCCTTCTTCAATTTTCCTCTTGCATGGGTCCCAGTCAGGGCTGCCATTTCATTTTGGCCCCCCCGGACAAATCAGGGGGCCCGGCATGTACGACCCTGTATTTAGCAGGGTCGGGGCGAATTTGGCTCTTTAGGCTTCAGGGCTGAAATTGATTCCTCCCTTTAAATCAGGTTTGGCGCGGAAAATTCTGCAGCCTCATTTCTACCACAAAGCTGACAGCTGCAGTCCGCAAGTATTAATAAGCTAGTTAGCAATAGAAAAACTAGTTAGCGTCATTCACTACGCACGCGTAACAGACTTCCCCTCTTCCAACTCCTAGCAATGATCTGAGATGTGTTTTGCTGCTGCTATACCCATTCATGCCTGCTGGTGCACTACATGACGGGGATCTGAGATGTGTTTTGCTGCTGCATGTTGGTTCACGCTACTGTCTATGTGTCATGGGATGGGAGCGAGGTTGTGATTGGTACAAGTACCAGTTGTATGTTGAGTTGAATCTGTGGCCCAGCCACGCAACTCCAAATTTGGCAGGTTTGAATGCAATCAAAATAGAAACGGGGGGAGGGGGAATGGAGGACTTTGGGGGGGAGGGGGGGGGGGGGGGAGGAGTGGGAGGGGAAGTTCGAAAAGATTTTGTTCCAGGGCTCGCCAAAAATCTACACTCCAGACCTAAGCCCGAAATCAGCCCTGTAATGGATCAGGGCCACAATTTTTCAGCCCATCAATTTCAGTTTTCAAGGGCAACCCAGCCCTGGAATTCAAGGTCCAGCAGGGCAACGCCCTGCAAGCGACAGGCCTGGTCCAAGTGGTCCGGTTCAAACCAATTTTGAAGCTACCCTAATCCTAACCGCCATGCTTCCCCTTTTCCAGCCTTGATGCGGAATGCTGGAAATCGAGAGATTTTCTCCAGACCCGGAAACGGTGATTTGCCGTTGCACACGTAGGCTCAATTTGCTAGCGTGGTCGGACAATTTGATGATAATTGCTCGAGTGGTCTTGCCAGAGGTTTCCTCTGGCTTTTTTTTTATCCGGCACATTACCCAAAACCGGTTTTTAGCCCTGCTTTTCTTGTCAGAATCCCAACCACTAGACCATTGGGATAAAAGGGCTTGTTTCAGTAGCGGGTCAGTGCGCCCATAACCCCCCAGGCGAACGCGCCCGTAACCCTCTCCAGGATCAATTAGGCATCCACAGTGCAGATCTACTGACATTTCTTACGTCGTTCGTGTCTCTTCCCGCAAAAACGTGGCGTGTGTTTTTCCGCCCGATTTTTTCGGCTGGGTGACGTGCGCGAGGGCGGCCACGTCACCGTTCGAATACACGACAATAATCAACACGATCATGTTCGGCGAACAGTCGCGCTCATTTTCGGTCCAATTATTGACCAATCCGCGCATAGAGATATGAATCTCCGATCATATACTCAATTGCACGACTGTCCACACGCGCGACCAATTACAGAGCGCGTGTGATTGGTCGACTCTATGCGCGGGCCCTTTTCTGATCTTGCGCGTCCAATCAGGCGCGCTCATATAGGGTCACGCCCATATGAGATCGCACTACTGGAAATGGAATATATGTTTAAACTCACCAGTGGTACAAAAGGTACACACACCAATATATTAGTGCTTATTCATATGCTGTAGTTTCATTAAACCCTGCATTCATCTAATGAACTTGTTTGCTAAACCTGTGCAGGGGCGGCGGACGACATAATCGATGCCTTTCTGCACAATAACTGATGAGACGTATGGTCAACAATGATATTGCGTGCTCTGTACACATCAAATCTACGTAATATCATTGTAGGCATGCGTAGAGGTCGACATGTCTACAGATACAATAAACCATATGATTGCTAAATGAACGGACCGCACAGTGTTATAAAGATACAATGGCAAAACACCGGTAGTGAACGTCTCTCGATTCTACGAATATAGTTGTTTATTAATAAAACAGATCGCACATACATTCGAGCACCACATATGCGCGCTCATATAGGTAAATGCGCGGTTTTATATGAGCGCTATCTTACATGACCGCGCCTGATTGGACGCGCAAGGTAAAAAAGTACTTTGCGCATAAAGTCGACCAATCACACGCGCTCTGTAATTGGTCGCGCGTGTGGACAGTCGTGCAACTGAGTATATGATCGGGGATTCATATCTCTATGCGCGGATTGGTCAAGAATTGGACCGAAAATGAGCGCGATTGTTCGCCCAACATGATCGTGTTGATTATTGTCGTGTAATAGAACGATGACGTGGCCGCCCTCGCGCACGTCACCCAGCCGAAAAAATCGGGCGGAAAAACACACGCCACGTTTTTGCGGGAAGAGACACGAACGACGTAAGAAAAGCAGGGCTAAAAACCGGTTTTGGGTAATGTGCCGGATAAAAAAAAAGCCAGAGGAAACCTCTGGCAAGACCACTCGAGCAATTATCATCAAATTGTCCGACCACGCTAGCAAATTGAGCCTACGTGTGCAACGGCAAATCACCGTTTCCGGGTCTGGAGAAAATCTCTCCTGGAAATCCCTAAATGACGTGGGATAGACGATACCCTCCTTCCGTTTCATTGGCGGTTTTTTTCCTCCAAACATGCACAGCCAACAATTTGTCACGATTGCAAAAGGCTGTACGGAAAAAAATTCTTCAGTGCGAAAACAGGTCGCGTAATTTCTGCACCAGCAAATCCTTTGAACTAGGGTCGACTCGACCCTTGAAACCAACTCGACTTGGGGTGCGTTCCTGGCTCGTGTGAAACTTCCGGTCTTCCGGGGATGACACGAAGCTGGCTCTACTTTGGATCATCCGAGACCAACTTCGGGTCTTCCCGCCAAATTTCGCCTCTGTTTTCCCTAGACACGAAGTTTGACAGGAAGTTAGACATAAACCTTCGGGTCTTTTCGGGAATGCTGGAAGTTTGACACGAGCCAGGAACGCACCCTTGGACCGTGCGTGCGAGCGTTCCTTCCAAGTTCCAACTTCTGTTCACAAATGAGAACGAGTGCAACTGTGGGTGTTGGAGAAGAGTTTGTCTGTGGGCCTTCCAGTTGAGCAAGCTCCAAAGAAGTCTGCTCAGGCGACAAATGGTGGAGCAGGGGTCAAGCATCAGGCACGGGCGGTTGAAAACCATTCCTGTGGGTCTTGTTTGAAAGGCTAGTGATGGAAGAAATACTGCAAGGAAATGCAAATGAAAGGAAGTCTTCATCGCGGTTTTGCTATCCCGTGACAACGTATCTTTCGTGTAGGGATGGGAGACCGTCGTTCGCAGAGCTTACCGTGGCGGCTGCGTCTGTGAAACTGCGAAACGCACGTCGAGAGTCGCGCGGCGACAGGTGAACACGCAACACGCAACCGAAAGAGGCAGAAGACACAGCAGATGGAAGACACGACTCTTCCGCCAGAGCTAGCGCAATGGCGCGAGCAGGAATCGACCCAGAGACTGTCAGCGCAGCAGCCGCAGTCAGCATGGCTCACGCGCACGTGGTCACAGCCGCAACAGCAGCTGTTGCTCTCGCAGCAACCGCTGCCGCAGCAGCAGTCAGTACTATCGCCGCCTCAAACGCAAGCGCAAGCGCAACTCTCGCGGGACCGGGAAACGCCATTAGAGGAGCCGTCGAATGTGGAGTCATCGAAACGAGTCGAAGCCGCCAAGCAGTTACTGCCGCGTGTAGACTCGTTGCGACTAAAGCCGCAGCTGCCGGAACTCTCTTGGGGGGAGGGGGACAGCGGCGGGCACGCGGTGCGTTTCGGCGAGCCCGGTTCGTTGGGTTTTCGCATGATGTTTCTCGATCGCCGCGATCGAATCGTTTCGCCGTGGCACAACATCCCGTTGTACGGCGAAAACAGCTGGTTGAACTGCGTTTGCGCGACGCCGTCGGGAAGTTGGTTGAAGCACGAATTCGCACCGGAGGAATACACTCCGCTGCGCGTCACTCCGAAACGCGGAGAACCGTCGCACTTTTGCGACAACGCCACGTGGAACCTCGGCCTGCTGCCGCAGACGTGGCAAGATCCGGAGGAAGTCGTCGAGGAATTTCCGGGCATGATGGGTTGCGGCAGTCCCTTGGAGGTGATAGATGTTTCGGGTGGTCTGCCCGCGGATTTAGGGCAGGTTTACACGATAAAGCCGCTCGGCGTGATTCCAGTTGTGCGCGAGGCTGGGTTGGCCTGGGTGGTGGTGGGAATTGGCGCGGGGGACTTGTTGGCGAGCCTGATGAATCACGTTGATGACGTGTACGCGCTGCTCCCGGGAACAATGGAATCCGTCATGCATTGGCTGACGGTTTGCGACTCCACTGAGCCTGGTGAGGCTCCTTGTTTGTGATGGGATAGTTTGGAGGTTGACGATTCTGTCTGATCGCCACTCACCAAGTACAAATGTACGTCCATTTTTCCCGTACGATCCACTTCAGATCCGTACGATCTTCCTCCACAGCCACATCTGGTCGGAACCTGAAGTCTAAATTCGAACCACTTATTCGTCTGTTCCGCCCTGCTTCCAGGCGCCCCCCCAGCGTTACTAGCCAGTGACGACAGCTACGGCGCGGACAAGGCTCTGGAGGTGATAGCACAGGTGCACGCGGCATGGCAGCTGTTTCTCCACAGCAACGTGCAGCCGGAGCCGTGGCCTGGACTGGACCGTACCCAACTTTGAATGGTTTTCTTCCTCTGTTCCGCCCTGCTTCCAGGAGACCCCCCAGCGGTGTTAGCCAGTGATGACAGCTACGGCACGGACAAGGCACTGGAGGTGATAGCACAGGCGCACGCCGCATGGCAGCTGTTCCTCCACAGCAACGTGCAGCCGGAGCCCTGGCGGCCGGATCTGGACGTGTTCTCCACCAACGTGCTGCAGGCCTGCTGGCGCAAATACACTGACGGGCAGAGCGCTTTGGTGCTCCCTGTATCGTGTGAGCGGCGGGATGAGAGCGTTCCTGGAGATGCTTATAACGGGGATGAGATGCTGGGGTTTGGATCAGTGGGGTTTGGTGCGGTTGATGGAGATATGGCGGATGAGGAGGGGGTTGAGAGAGATGCAAGGGGTTCTGGGGGTGCAGGCAAGGGTGTGGCAGCAACAGGCTCCAAAAAGAGTTCTCAGAAAGTTCCCGAAGGGCGGAGCAAAGGCGGAAGGCTGAGCAGAATATCGTCATCAGCAGTAGCACCTGCCACGGTCACTGCTGCTGCTGCTGCTGCTGCCGGTCGTCACCCTTCAGAAGCAGGAGCAGCGGCTGCCGGGGGGAAGGGAGGAAAAGGAGGAGGGGGTGGAGCAGCAGCAGAAGGTGCATCAGCAGCAGCGCCATCGATAGGAGAAGACTCGCCTCTTACTACTGGTGCCAAGAGCTCCAACAAGATGAGCTTTTTCAGGTCACGCCTCCCCAGCCTGCCTCCGCCCCCACCACCCTCACACTACGATGACGTCATCTCAGCAGAAGCAAAGTCAGCATCCGCATTGGCAGCACGGCACCCCAGCAGCTTTGAGAGCAGTGGGGGCTACAGCAGCAGCAGTGCGCATGGGAAGGGGACGCGAGCTTGGAGTCCTCTAGCTGTGCTGCGCTCCAAATCCCCTGGCAGTCTGCAGAGCAACCATGGCAAGCAGCGCGCACAGAGCGCGGCACGTGACAGCAGCAGAAAATCCCCTCGAAGTCACCAGAGCAGTGCGGCCAGGGTGAGCAACGAGGTTCAGAGTAGGGGGTTAGGGGCGGGTACCCAGTGGGCTGCTGCTGCTGCTGCTGCAGGCCAGGTGAAGCACGGTGCAGGCAGCCAATCGCCAGTGGGTGGTAGACCACCCAGCAGCCCGTCCCTTGTAGTGGGTGGTAGACCACCAAGCAGCTTGTCCCTGGTAGGTGGTAGACCACCCAGCAGCCCGTCCCTGGCTGGTGGTGGACCACCCAGCAGCCCATCTCCTGTGGGTGGTAGACCACCGCTCAGCAGCAGCAGCGTGTCTCCAGGAGGCCAGAGGGGGCGAGACAGCAGGTGTCCTGGAGAACGGTCAGTGGTGCCCAGGTCTCCAAGGGAAAGAATGCTGAGGCCTAAGTCTCCAAAAGGAATCCTGCCTGGCTTTGCCTTGGCAGCTCTTGGGGGCGGTTTGCGAGCAGGTGGTGCTGATGGTGGTGGTGGTGGTGCTGCTGCTGCTGTTGGCGGTGGTGCTGCTGGTGTTGATAGTGATGGTGTTTCGGATGCAGCTGCGTCTGAACCTGCCAACGCTGATGGTGACGGTGACGGTGATGGTGATGCTGTTGGTGTTGTTTCAGCAGTCTCACCTCCGTCTGTGGCTGCTACATGTGACCCGCTTTCCGGGTTGGGTAAGCCTACAAGAAGCCGGTCCTTGCAGCGCCGAATGTCTCCCCGGGGGCTGCAGCACCTGCACCTGCCAGACATGGCAAGGAAAGGGTTGCAACAGCTGCCAGTGGTGTCTCCTCGCGCGCTCAAGTTGCCTGAGGTGGCGAAAAAACTGATTGGGGGATTTTCCGGCTGGCATTCGGGCGAGGAGCGAGGCAGAGAGAAAGACCGAGACAGAGTGAGGGACATGGAAAGAGACAGAGGGGACGGGGACAGGGGGGAGAGAGACAGGAGGGATGGCACAGGGCAGCCCTGGCTGGATTCGCACGCACAAGCGCCGATTGCTTGGGAGAGTGATGTGTTCCCAGTAGAGAGGCTGCTGGCGGGGATGCTGGAGGGGCGGAGCTCACACCCTCCAGGCCTGGCATGGTCCAGACAGGGGGGCGGTGTGTGCGCGGGTATTCCCAAGGGTGATGGGCTGCTGCGTCGGCATCGCAGTGAGAACCTGTCTGCGCGTGGGGCGTTTCAGCAGCAGCCGGGGGATGGTTGGAAGCATGGGTTGGGGGATGGTGGACGGGATGGTGGGGGGAATGGTGGGAGGGATGGTGGGGGGAATGGTGGGAGGGATGGTGGGGGGAATGGTGGGAGGGATGGTGGGGGGAATGGTGGGGGGAATGGTGGGGGGAATGGTGGGGGGAATGGTGGGGGGAATGGTGGGAGGGATGGTGGGGGGAATGGTGGGGGGAATGGTGGGGGGAATGGTGGGGGGAATGGTGGTGAGGTGGACAGGCTGGTGGCAAGGCTGCTGGAGGCAGGAGGTGCGTGTGCGGGTGCGGCACAGGCAGGCAGTGATGCTGAGGTGCTGCGTCGGCACGGCAGTGAGAACCTCTCAAGGTATAGCTCTGCGTGTCCTCCTGTGCTGCTGCAGGCAGTGCCTGAAGGAGGAGGAGTAGGTACTGGCGAGGTGCCCACAGTAGCAAGAGCCGGGGCTGCTGGGACGGCGGGGGCAGTAGCAGGAGTTGGAGCAAGGGGGAAGGCAGCAGAAGCAGCAGCAGCAATGGTAGAGTCAAGCCACTCTGGCATGGCTTGTGAGCTCACAGCAAAGGGGAAATTGCCGCAGAAAGGCGGGCAGCGGGGTGATAGACTCCGCTTTCCGCATTCCAAGTCTCTACCCCCGACTTTAACTGGAGGAAGCTGGAGTGAGGAGGAAATCATACAGCCTGTTTTGACTGTGAAAAGGATTGCTGTTCCCGGAAACGCAGCCGTTTCTTTAACCGGGAGTGCTTTTCCTTCAGATAATGAAGATGCTTTTGCTGCTGTGGAAGACAGACAGTTACAGAGGCAGAAATGGATGCAGCTGCAGCAGCAGCTCCAGCAGGGTGCCTCTACAACCCCTACAGCCCCGTCAGCAGCACAGACTGACAGGTTTCGTCGCACTCTCTCTGCTCCGCGCTCCTCCCTACCCCCACCCACCGCCTCCTCCACTCCTTTCCCTGGTCACCCATCCAGACTCCTCCCATGTCTGCCACTTTCCTCCCCACCCCCTCATTCCTCCCCACCCCCTCATTCCTCCCCACCCTCCATGCTCAACAACCCGCAGTCCTCTTTCCCATCTACCTCTGCCCGCCGCCGCTCCTCGTCCTTCTCGGGGTGTGAAAGCTCTGGCCTTGGCTCGCCTGACTGCTCCACCGCCACACACCCTCCTGCGTGTGAGGCATCTGTTGCATTTGATGCGCCACAGGCACTTGTGGTTGAGGCGCATGGGCAGCAACAGCCTCCCAAACACTCCACTGTTGCCGCCCATGCTACAGCCGCCCATGCTACAGCCTGCCATGCAGAAAATGAAATTGCTGCAGCCAGGCTTGGTATGGCCAGCTGCTCAACAGCCAGTGTTGCTCCTCCTGGCCCTGCCATGCCTGCACTCACCTCTGCTACAGCCATTCCTGCTACAGCCGGCCATGCAGCAAGTGACAGTGCTGTAGCCAGGCTTCATATGGCCAGCTGCTCAACAGCCGCTGTTGCTCATCCTGGCCCAGCCATTTTCTCTCAGCAGCTGGATAGCGAGCAGCATTGGCAGCGCTGTATGGCACAGGGGCACTATTTTCTGCAGACGCAGCAGTGCGATGACCAGCAGCAAGAGCAGCGGCAAGAGCGAGAGAGAGAGCACTTAGAGTATTTATACCTTCTCGAGTATGAGCAGCAATACAAGCACCAGCAGCACCAACATAGGCCTCCTCACCATTATCAACCCTATCAGCAGCAGCAGCAGCAGCAGCAGCAGGCCACTTCAGGACTGTCATACAGCAGGCCTCGGCTTGCCAGGATAGAGCAGTCACGGGACGCACTGATGCCCTGCGACGATCTAGAGTCATGGAATGCAGTAGACAAGTCTCAAATGCCGCTCACCCTGCCACTGCCAGAGCTGCCAGTGGGACCTGGGGAAGGTGAAGAGAGAGACGAGGGAATGGGAGCAGTCGCCTATATGCAAGAGCAGGAAGAGCAAGAGCAGCAGCAGGTAGATTTGAGGGAGTTGGATGTGGTGGGGCTGGTGCTGAGGGGAGGTGGGGGGGGAAGGGAAGAGATGGGTGGGTTGGAAGGGATTCGGAGGATGCAAGGGCTAGGCTTGGTGGGGGGGCAGCAAGGAGGAAGCTGGCAAGAGGGGGTGGAGGAGGTAGAGAGACAGCGGGAGCAGCAGCATGATAAGCAGCTTTTGCTGCAGGAGCAAAGCCAATGGTGGCGGCAACACCTGGAGCAGCAGCTGCAACATCAGCATCGGCACCAACAGCAGCAGCAGCAGCAGCAGCAGCAGCAGCAGCAGCAGCGGCGGCGGCAGCACCAGCACCAGCAATGGCACGTGCAAAATGAAGCAAGAGCAGAAGCTGGAGGTGCAGGGGCAGCGGCAGGGGTAGTGCAGTTGAGGCGCAGTCATACGGAGGATTGGAGGGGTCGCAGGGCAAGGGGGCAGCATGAGCAGCACGCTCAGAACATGCGGCACTTGCAAAGAACGGCAAGAGCAGCAGATGCAGGTGAAGGTGCAGGTGCAGGGGCAGGGGTATGGGCAGGGGCAGGGGCAGGTCAGCTGAGGCGCAGTCAAACAGGGGAGTGGAGGGCACACAGGGCACCTGTGCCTGAGGAAAAGGGGCAGCAGAAGCGGCACTCTGAGTGGGCCTCTCACTGGGCGCACAGGGCAAGCGCGCAGCGTGAGTGGCAGGACCAGTACCAGCAGCGGCACGACCAGCAGGAGCAGCAGCAGCAGCAGCAGGAGCGAATGTTTGAGTGGACCTCTGACTGGACTGTGAATCGGTCTGCTGAGCGTTCTCTTGACTGGTGCTCGCAAGGGAAGCCCCAGCAAGCTGCGCTTGGTGCTGATAGTGTCGGTGCTGCGAGCGGTGCTGGTGGTGCTTCTGGCATTGGTGCTGGTAGTGGTGTTGGCAGCGGCAGGGCAGCAGCAGCGACCGTACGGGAAGCATTCAATGGAGCGCCATTACCTTCTGATGTGGAGGGCGCAAGGCCACTGTATGGCGAGATGACTTCTGAGTCGACACAAAAGGCAGCAGCGACCAGAGGGGAAGCATCCAGTGGAGTCTGGTCACCTTCTGGAATCGCTTTTGCGAGCTCTCAAAAGCCATCCAGTGGAGGCTGGTCACCCTCTGCTGTGGAGGGCGCAAGCGCACTGTATGGGCGCACCATGACCCTCGACAGACACAGTTTCAGGGGCTGGGGCACACGCACAGCCACAGGCGCACGCATGGGCATGGGTGTGGGCATGGGCGCGAGTCAGATGGGTGTGGGTGTGGGTGTGGGTGTGGCTGTGGGTGTGGGTGTGCGAGAGGGTGATGAGATGGCAGTGCCTCAGCTGGAGCGCAGGCGGACAGTGAGCAGGGTGAAGTTCAGTGAGGATGTGGACGTGGTGATGTATGAAGAGGCTGACGTGGCATCTGCTGTGCTGCGATGCTGATGTGGCATGTGCCGTGCTCCGATGCTGATGTGGCATCTTCGGTGCTACGATTCTGATGTGGCACCTGCTGTGGTGCGTTTGCGCTGCCGCTGTCGGTGCTGCTGCCGAAGGTGCTGCTGTTGGTGCTACTACTGATAGTAGTGGTGGTGGTGCTTCTGCTGCTGTTGCGAGGCTAATGCTATGACGGTGTGTCAGCCTGCCTTTGCAGCTGGTTCGGACCGGGACTAAATCGAAACGCAGGTATCTGCGAACAAGCTTGGTATGCAGCAGCATCATGACTCTTATTGAGTGACCAAGCCTGCTGTTGCAGCTGCGGCCTCTGGGTTGTTGATTCCGACCGGGACACTATCCAATCGCTCGCTGGTGCCTGTGAATAAGCTTCGTACGCAGCAGCAACGCAGCATCATGACCCTTTGCAAGGGCGAGCGGCTTTAAGAATTGCAGGATCGTGGCAATGCAAGGAAAGGGTCGAAATTGGGCAGCGACTGAAGTAACAGCCGGCCGCTGCACAGCGGTTTAATAAAGCAGGCCCCTTACAAGGGTGTTACCGTCAGCCCCCGGATAGAAGCGCCCCTGGGGGTATAAAAAAACACTGTTTTTGGGGGGTGCGCTTATAATTGAGGAATTTTATAAGCGCCGGCGCTTATAAAATGGCAAAAAGAATATATATTTGTTTTACACCAACTGTATATCTCGTTCTGCGATTGTAATCGAGTCGAAAACATGTAGGGTCGCGAATCTGATTCTCGCGCAGCTTGGCAGGGAGTGATTCCCTGCCAGCTCACCCTGACAAAATTACAGCACCTGCTGACTAGACGCGCAAAAAGTGAGTTCAGAGTGTGGGAAATCGAAATTGTTGTTCGTTTCCCTGATTATGCGAAATTCGTTTCTGAAATTTGAAAGGTTTTCAAATGAAAAACAAACATGCGCTTATACCATATCATCCTTTTCTAGGGGGTGCGCTTATAATCGAGGACCGGATATAAGCGCCCTCATCCTTTTATAAGCGCCGGCGCTTATCCGAGGCCTGCGCTTCTATCCGGGGGCTTATGGTAGTAGGTTTTCGATGTGAGGTTGGATAAGTTCCTGTGTTTCACCAGATGATTTTTTTTTTTAGGCGCCTCAAAAGTCGTCTCCTGTCTCGCGGTTTTACCGTATGTGGGGAGAATTAGAAATGCATGGAAGTGTGCACGTAACCTTCAGCGGTTACTTGTAAGGGCACGATTACCTAAGTCACTCGCCAAAGTTCCCGAAGGCTGACTCAGGACCAGGCCCTCAGATACGTTATTGGGGCTGTCTGAGGGTTCAGACTGTTGGGCTGAGTGCCCTTTAGGATCTTTGGTAGAGTTAAAGTCTGAGTAAAGTGATGTAGTAGCGGAAGCGTTTTCAGTAAAGTCCTTGAACCACCTTGCGCTAGTATGTGAGGGCAAAGTAAGTTGACTAAAGCAAAGAGATACAAGAATATATATATGAATACAGAGAATATGAAGAGACATAATTATAACTACTTTACGTCACATGCTGCTACTGTTTCCTTGGAGTGGACGTCAAAGATTTTCCACGCGTTGTAGTTCTTTTCGATGCCGAGGTGTAGTCCCCACTGTGCGCGTTGTGAAAATCGTCCTGCTCGTGCTTCTGGGGGTCGGTACTGTACCATGCACCCGAAAACTCGTAACATTTTTGTGCTGCCCTGTTTCCCTGTCCACAGCAGATGCGGTGACGCGTTGTTCGGAAGTGAAGACGACGACATCAAGTTGTGCAGCATGACAGCGTGGTCCATTGCTGCAGGCCACTGGTGGTTGGGTAGCCGCATGCCACGTAACAGTTTGCGCATGCTGTTCTGCAGAGTCCTGTTCATTCTTTCTGCCACACCTTGCTGCTGATGGGTGTAGGGAAGAGAGAGGAGCTGCTTGATTCCCCTTTCCGCCAGGTACTGCTTGAATCGCTGAGAAGTGTATTCTCCCCCTCCGTCTGACTGGAAGCTTTTCAGTTGTGCGCCCGACTCTCTCTCTGCTGCTGGTAGCCAGGCAGCGGAGGCTGCCAGTGCCATGTCGCGGCTAGGTAGGTTTAGGTGCCAGACGTAACGGGTGGCGGCGTCGATGAAGGTGATCGTGTAGTTGTATGTAACTTGTCCTGGTTCCCGATTGAACAGGATATCGCTGTACACCTTCTCGAGTGGTGCGTACGCGGGTGCGCTCGGGTTGTGATGAGGAATGAACGGCCGATGTGGTAAGTCGGCTTCGGGGCAGGTAAGACAAGTTCCTCGTGCTCGTTGAAGTTCTCTGCCGTCGAGTAGTAGTAATGAGTCCTTGTCAAGGACTCCAGCTCTTATTGTGTTGTTTAACACAGTGTTGCTTGGGTGTCCCATGCGTGCGTGCCAGATATCTTCGGAGGCGCGGTGTCAGGGTGAGCGTCGATACACGTCGGAGTTGGAGTAGAAGCTGGCGATGAAGTTTGCGCTTCTGTGGACTTCCCGTTGAGTCGGATTCAGCTGCTGTGCGGGTGTTGGTGGTGCTTCGTCAACGAGGACTGATGTCGTTGTTTCTGCTGCTTCCGACGATGTTTGTGCTGCTGCCGATGTTGTCTCTGCTGCTGCCGATGATGTTTCTGCTGCTGCCGATGTTGTCTCTGCTGCTCCCGAATGTTGTATTGTTACTAACGCACATGTTCGTTCTGCTTCAGGAATGGTATGTGAATACCAGAAGCCTTCCGGACTGAAGTCGGGGTCGAGATCCGGCGGGTGCGTCCAGGATGTGAAGGTGAAAATCCCGTCACTGTCTGCGGTGCCCAGGTCTGGAACGAAGTCGAGGACGAAGACATTGTTCTTCAGGATCGCCTTTCCGATGTAGAGGCCGCCCTTCCCGTGGTACAGCTTGAACGCCTGGGTGGTACTATCGGCTTCCAGATGTATGCCTTTCGCCATCAGCTGACTGACGCTCAGTAAGTTGTAGCCGAGTCCTGCTATTAGGACTTTTAACATTTGTAGTACGACATTCGTCTCTCGTGACTGAAGTTGCACCACCCCTTGTCGTTGTGTGCGCAGGTTCTGATTATTGGCGACAGTGATGACGACTTCTCGTTGAAGTTGGTGCTCGCGTTGAACGAAACGTCCTGAGGAGCACATGTGTTGTCCACAGCAACTATCCAAGAACCATGTATCCTTCCCGGACGGCTCGCTTTGGGCGATGACGGCGTACGTCGGGTTTGGTTGAAGTGACTCGCGGCGAGGCGTACTGTTGTCGAGTTGTTCTTCTGGTGAGTATTATGGTGGTGACTCAGCTGTGCAGGAGTCACTCAGCCTTGCCATGCAGCTAACGATGTTTCTTGTTTCTTTTGCAGGTTGTCCCGTTGATGTTGTTGAGACGTGGACTGAAGTTGTCAGGTTTGCTTGCATTGAAGTGACTGGACTGCTTGAAGGGCGAAGTTGGCGTTGTCGATTTGGGCAGTGCGTACGAGGGTGCCCTGAAGTCTTGCAGAGGTGGCAGAACGGAGGTATGAATTTGGGTCGATTGTTGTTGTTGTTGTAGCGCCGTGGAGTGTGAAACGCGAATTCGGGTACTGACACCTTTCTCCTTTGTCGTTCTTCTTGCAGGTCCATGTCTTGCTGTTCGGCGTGGATTTCGGTGCAAATTGCCGCTTCAGAGATTTTCCCGTGGGCTCGTAGTATGGCGCGAGTGGAGCGCCAGTGAGGACCAAGACCGCCGATGACAACCTTGACGAAGGCGTCCTCTGAAATCGATCCTCCACATCGAAGAAGCTTGTCGCGCAGCTCGCGGCAGCGACTGATATACGCCATTCCCTTCTCGCCCGATTTCATTTCGATGGTAGTTAGCTGCGCCATTAACCAACTTTGGTTTACGCTGTCTGTTGCTTGATACAGGGTCTTCAAGTGATTGTACGCGAGCTCCGCGGAGTTGCCGTAGCCTCGGTAAGACCGAATGTTTTGTTGTTGAGATGGAGTGATGTTCCTCAGCAGTATCGTGTACGCCATCATCGATTGATATGTGTACTGCTGCTTCTCATACTGTGTGCCATTTGTTGGGTATGGCAGGGACCCGTCGAAGAAGCCGAGGATTTGCGCTCCTTCCATCATCAGTTCAAATTCGAATGACCAGGTGAAGAAGTCCTTCCCGTCGAAGGGTTTTGTCGTTTGCAGTTTTAGAACGTGCGTGAACTACGACTGAACTTGTAGTGCGTCCAACGTTCTCTCTTGTCCCGGTGCAGGTTGTGGTTGTGGCATGAAGCTGATGGAGCCGCGCTGAGGCTCGTACGGAGCGAAGGTAGGTTGCTGTTGTTGATTCCCGCGTGCGTAGGATGAGCCATCGAGACTCATGGGCGTCACGTTGTTGTTGTTGTTGTTGTTGTTGTTGCTGTTGTTTGATTGCACAGGTCCTCCTTGCTGATGCTGCTCGTAGAAGGACATGAAGGAGAAGAATTTCTCCATCATGCTTGGATCGAAGCCCACGCCTTGGTTTGCGGGTGTTTCAGTAGACCCAGCTGCCGGTCTCGTTGTTGTCCCTTCCTCTGTCTGTAGGCCAGAGGCAGGAGGTGGAGTAGGAGTAGTACCAGGAGAGCCATTGGAGGAGCTCCTCTCCTTTCTAGTAGACATATCTCTTGGTGTATTAAGTATTGAGGAGAAATGATTTAACTCTAACCTGCTCTCATACCATGTTGGGCTAAGTGCCCTTTAGGATCTTAGGTAGAGTTAAAGTCTGAGTAAAGTGATGTAGTAGCGGAAGCGTTTTGAGTAAAGTCCTTGAACCACCTTGCGCTAGTATGTGAGGGCAAAGTAAGTTGATTAAAGCAAAGAGATACAAGAATATATATATGAATACAGAGAATATGAAGAGACATAATTATAACTACTTTACAGTTGCGGTTCGATACAGTGCGACTCGGGCAACTGCTCAATGTCGAGTCAATTGTGTGTCCTTGCTGTCGCACTGCATTTGTCAGGTCAAAGGTCGCTGACCTTTGACTTTCGCGTAACCTCCAGCGGT